ATTTTTTGCTATCCTCAACATCACCCATTTCCATGGAGCATTCCAGCAGCGGAAATGGAGATTTTCGCTTCTACGGTAAGAATTTTTCGAAACATAAAATATTTAATTACCTGTTTCATGAAGACTTAAATTTTTCTCACTATTATAGGAAACATTGATTTTACCGTGTCATCAAACAAAAATTCTAATAAATCATTATAGTCACAATAATGTTTTGCCACTATTGAATCTGTTTGTAGTAACACCCATTGATATTGATAAACCCATCCATTGATTTTTTAAATTTTTTTGTAGTTAGTATTAAAATGTGAGAACCGCCAAACACTAAGGAGAAATTGCAATAGTATTATTAATGATTACTTTTGGAATTTATATTCAAATAGCGTCAGATATGATAACGGTGGTCCCACTGAAAGGGAGATACCGTTCAAACGTCCTCCAATATGGCTGTCATTTGCATTATTGAATTGATGGATGTGTGACGACTGACATGACAGTGGCATACTGATCAATCCTCAGGTATGCCACATTTTGGTCTCCATTGACGTGGACGATTCCAGATGTACATACCATCCATTTTCTCATTGTTGTTTGTATTTTATAATAGAACGTAGCCACGCTAGAAAAACCAAACGTTTACGTTTCCCTTTTCCATAATGTACGATCCTGCGCATTAGATAAATTGTATCTTTAGTAATTTTCAATGACCATAATGATCTTAATAATAAGTTATATATACCTAGAGAAAAAAATTGTCTGCACAAAATAAATCTGGGTAAGATGTACATTGATTGTTCAAGGCACTCATCAGTTGTCTTTTGTATGTTTTATTAATGATCGATTGGGTGAGAAGAGGTAACTTCAAGACTGCACCTGTTAAATGATATTTTTTCAAAAATAGTATAAGGAAATGGCACCTCTCAGTTTTCTTATTATTCAATAGAAAACTAAAGCACAGGCTTTAGTACAAAATTATAAGTGATCTAAGGTTTGTTGTTTGAAACCAGGGGATATCCATTTCCTTCACTTCCGATGGCGAAGAAATTTTATTGATCTTCTCTTCTTAAAAATGGTTGAAATAAAATCAAAACGTGGTTGCCTCCAAAATCAAAGCAAATCGTCGTAAAATGTGCCTCCTCTATCGGAACTTTTGAATAAACCCTTCTGACAACCCCTGTCCAATGCATATTTCTTTTTTTCTCATGTATTAACGTTTCAGTGTTTTGTCTGTCCATTTCCGTCAACAGTTGTGTGACATTTTGAAAAAGAAATATATTTATTTTATAATATTAGTCTGCCAACTTGAAAGATGTTTAACTGTAAACGTAAAAAATATTAATATAGTATGTATAAGCGCCGATAAAGCAACTTCATAGTCCGTGGTACAGTCCGCTTTTTATCAAATTATTAACATCCGGCTGAAATTTCTTAAATAGCTTCATCTCATCGTAACCTACAAATATTTTATTTACGAAAATTCTCGGAATTGGGGCGTTTTCAAGGTACTAAAAACTCGGAAATACCCGTTTGCTTTCCACTTTAATCTTAAGATAACTTGAGCACAAAGTAAATAAAAAAGGTGGCATTCAAAAATATTGAGCCGTTTGGCGTGACCTACACCCCCAAATCATAAAAATAACGAGGTTATGTAGACTAAACGGCCAATATTTTTGAAGGCCAACTTTTTTCTCGACTTCATGCTGAAGTTATCTTACGATTAAAGCGGTAAGCAAATGGGCATTTATTAGTTTTTACTACCTAATTAAATAGGCAAAGTTTGCAGACCTCCAGATTGAAAACACCCCACTTTCGAGAATATTCGTAAATGAAATATTTGTAGGTTACGATGAGATGAAGCTATTTACGAAGTTTCAGCCTGATGTTAATAATGTGATAAAAACGGGTCTGTACCACAGACCACTTATGTTCGAAAAATATTATCTTGAGACATATTGCAAGATCGCCATTATTCATGACATAACTTTTAAATTTGATTTCAGTTCTAATAAGGAAAATCAACGGTATCCCACAAAACTCCAATAACAGTGCCATATCTAAAGCAAATGACTTGTTTTGAAGATAGTGATTTATTCAGCTGTCAGGTTGATACCAATGCCTGTCACACATTCACACAAATACATATAGTATATACATATCGCCGGCACCATGTTAATTAACGAATGTGAACCTGCTCAACGTTGCACCTTCGTTACTTAAACATGGTGCCGACGATATGCATGCACAGAAATCTATTAGAATAAAATTTCGATGGATAAATAAGAATTAATTTTAAAATGTCAACACATATTACGACGTAAACACTTCACATTTTCTTTTCCCATGTCCCTTTTATCAGGATGCTCCCGTAGGGTCCCAATAACAAACATACCCAGGAATACAAAGGATAACTGCCTTAGACACGCTTTCCTACATCTTTTACTTCCGAAGGTTGTTCTTTATTGCTGAATCTCCGGTTCCTTTAGACGGTTTATGATGTCCACGATGGGAAGGAAACTATTTTCATTTAAACGCACTACAATGGATCTAGTATTCTGTTAACCTTTCGAGCGAGATCAAACCGGAACATCGAATTGGTTTCCGTCATTAAAGACTTTCAACTAAAATTATGAAATCTGATAAAAATATCGAACACGAAACTGCTGGAGGAAGGTTAGGTATGTTGTCCTGTTCCCGGGAAGATCAGGCACTGTTGTGTTTGTGAAAGGTCAAAGTATCGACCTGAATGGTGAGTAGATGACTATCTTCAAAACAAGTTATTTGCTTTAGTTGTGCGGAGATAATCTTGTGCTATTTGAGTTTTGTAAGATTACGTTACAGTTCCTTATGAGAGCCGAAATCGAAATTAAAAGTTATTGAAGCGATTGGCATTTATAATTGACACCCTTGAAATCTGTCCCCCCATTAAAAAGCATTGACTTGTCTAAGGTGAAATTGCGCATATTAATTTTTTTACATTTACTGTGAGAAATCGTGGACATGATAGGTTGTTAGGCTAATGGTAAGAAATAAATACATTAATAAAGGCATAGTTAATATTTACAAGGACAAGTTATCAGAAAAAAACGAATGGGTCTGTTTGTGAGCAACATTATTAGAATGGATAGGTTAATATAAAAGAAACAAACATATAGGAACATGACTAGCAATATAACTAAAATGGAAGTTTGCCAAAGTGATAAGAAAAAAAACTATAAATTGATAACGGACAAAAACAAAGTCTGAAACGTAGATGAACATTGAAGAATAAATGAATGTATATATGAAGTATGATGGGAGGTTAAATTATTAAAAAGTTTGTTGATTCCTGAATCTACACCTATGAATAAATAACTAAGGAATTAAAGTTATTATTTCTATTATTATAATTTTGCTTATTTCAATAAATACTATCTACTTTCCGATTACCAGTATTATTAATGTACTAGTTCTAAATCGCTTACTCCAAGAGGGAGGTGAGTTTCAAGATCATTTTGAGCATACTGTTGGTGGAATGCCGAAATAAACGGAGTGTATCAGTTTTTAATTTGCAAATTGAATTTTAGGCAATTATATGTCGTTCAGACTCGTTTCTTTTGTATGAACATGATGATATAATATACTATTACTAGGCAATATTCGGATTTTTTTTATAACTTGCTATAAAATGAATGATCATACACATCCAACTGGATAGTTAACGAGAAACTAATATGTAAGTGCATTAAGTTGTGATTTGATCCTATTGTTATAAATTTGTCCAAAATTTTTAAATGATCCTTATAATAGTGGGTTAGTGGTTGACTGTAGTGAATAATTAAGAGATGAATGGTTGGGGTGATCAGTCATCATAAAAATGGCAAAAATAAATAATAATATTTATTTTAACATTTGTCGACGTTTCGACCCGAAGTTAAGGCATTCGATCAGGGCAGATCGAAGTAATCGCTTGCAGTGATCAAATATTAAATATTTTACGAAAGATTTTGTAGGGATTGGTTGAAGGAAGGATGATGTAGAATGAAGGATCTAGGGAAGAATGATTGAATTCGATTCAGCCCCAATGATCTCTGCAAGCGATTGCTTCGATCAGCCCTGATAAAGGGCTGAACTTCGGGTCGAAACGTCGGCAAATGTTAAAATAAATATTATCATTTATTTTTGCCATTTTTATTTTTGACTGATCACCCCAATCATCCTTCTCTTCATGATCCTTATAATACATATTTAATTTTTTATTTTTCGCAAACCTATGACTTGATGTCATTGATGTCATGACTTGATGTCCCTGTTGAACAAAATCGCTATATAGGATACCAATTGGACAAACGATTTACTTGGAATTCGCATACAAGACTGACGAAACGACCAAAAACTGTTCGACTTTTTCAGCTGCTTCAATAATGACTAGATAAAGGCTCTAAGGTTTCAATTAATTGCAAAAGGTTCTTCTACTTGACTATAACAAAGCCTATACGGATATACGGAGTTGAGCTTTGGGTTTCTATCAAACCATCGAATTCAATCATCTATCAAAGCAATCCTTACAAAATCTTTCGTAAATGTTTTGTCACAAATAAAATGATTCATAAAGACCTTAATGTCCCAATTTATTTGGCCCAGTCCACATACTACCATTTCATGATAAACTCCAGACCCATCCGAACGCACTTGTTTCCAATCTTGCTTCCTCCTTGATTCCTGATAATCTTTCTTGGCATCTGAAAAGAAGATATGTTCGGGGTTTTCTACCTTACAAATATTTTGGGAGTGCTATCATTGGCTTAGTCATAGGTCTGCTGAGGTCATTATTATTACTTTGTTTACATTTACATTTACTAGTTGTATTTTATTTATAGCGATTGTAAATTTAAATAAATATATTTAAAAAAATATAATTTTTATATTCATTTTTATCTTGCAGCGTACCTATAAGGAGGACGTAATGAAAGAGATACTACAGTGATATCTAGGAGGCGGTGGGGGGCGAGGAGAGTTTCTCCCGCTGACTCAGCTGGCGCTGCTCAGCAGTGACCGAGGATCCGGCGGAACTGGCTGCTTGGCCGATGGATCACCCATCACTTTCCAACTTATTGTTAACTAAATATCTCATCCATCTCTCCGCGTCCATCTTCCATCTTCCATCTTCCATCTTATCCCCATTCGCCGGCCAGCTGTTTCTGCTTTTAACAAATATACAGGGTGTCCCGTAAGTAGAGGGAAATAGTTAAATAGATGATAGTCGATTTTAAGAGCTAAAAAAAAAGTTTATTCAAGCTATGATTTGATTTTTTCCCAGAAAAGTAGAAAATGTATGTTTTATGTTAGTCAAATGCGTTGTTGAATGTTACGCGATAACTGAAAAAATATTTAATGTGGGTATTTATTGATTATGTTATACAGAGTGTCCCGTAATTGATAAGTATTTATAACCGATAAACAATTTTTCTTACTAAAATTTACGTTGAAAATAAAGAAACCAGATGATTGTTTCAATTATTTTCATGAAAACGTAAATTTTAATACGAAACATTAAGTTTGTCTCTGATAAATACTTATCAATACTATGACGGAGATCTGCGAGAAAAACACAATTACATAACCACTTTAAGTAAAAATATTTGAAAAATCATTTTTATTTTTTATTTTATTTTTACTAATAAAATGTGTTTTTAGGCAATTAGTTTTATTACAGTACGTCCCATATCATGTAAAAACAAGAAATACAATCTTTGAAACAGTTAATTGTAGTTATATTTGCTGAAAACAAAGGTACATTCGATGACCAGATAGAAAATCACATCACATTTTTACACAACTTTCAAAATTTTTCTCTAATAAATCTCAAGTTAATTAATGTGGACTTGAAGCTTATTAAATGATAAACTTTTTCTAAAAGTGGGATAAATGTAGTTCTCTTGAAATATGATGATAAAAAAAAATCACAAATAGTTCATGACTTTTTAAAACAGAACATAGCTATGTTTGTCCGGTCTAAGTGCCTCTTTAAATACTTTTAACAATGACAAAATCCACTTCCGCTTGAAGTAAATTTTGTCTAGTTTACTATAGAGAAATGTTTAATTACTTAAATTATCCTATTCAACCAAAAACGTGACTCGCTTAAAAAAAAACACAAACTTAAATCTCCTACTTTTCTACTGGATATTGGACAATAGTTTATATTAACTTTTTTGTAGATCTTGATGTCTACCATCAACTTTTTAAATATTTTCCTCTACTTACGGTACACCTTGTATATTTAACAACTTTCATCAGCCCAACTTGACTACAGATACTCCACTTTTTTTAAAAAACTTCTTATTCATGTTTGTTTTTATAGATGTCTGGTTTACTATGAAATAATTATTAATTAACCAATTTAAATATTTTTTTAGTTATTGCGTCCCATTCAACATGAAAACATGCCACTGAAAAAAACAAGAACACAACACTTAAATTACTTTACTTTTCTGCGGAAAATCGGATCATAGCTTATGTGAAATATTTTTTTATTCTTAATGTATACTAACACTATTTAAATATTTTCTTTTACATACGGGACCCTCTGTATATCTTATGGTCCGAACCCGGATGGCAGGCTCAGAATATAATTTTAGGACATTATTCAAAACCTGCAAAATATTTATCGTTACACTCTTGGAATTTTGTACAGACTATATCCTACTACATAGTGCAATTTTAAGTGAGTATTTGATTATTTTGTACTTCTTTTTTTTTAAATGGATAAAGGTTCAATTTCAGCAGAGGGCTTATCTTTAAATCTTGAATAGACTAATATCGATAATTTAACCTGATACAAAATTAAGTCATTGAAATATTAACGAAGTCCTAAAAGTAATACTTAATTGGTTATAAGTTGATAAAAACTAGGTTTACGGCTTTTTAAAATGTTCATTTATTTTTTTAAACCTGATTCAGATAAAAATTTTATGGTATTTCAGGTATGGATGAGAATATTACCCATCGGAAAATTTACACAGACTTGATTCAGTTTCTTAATTTAGGAAAGGATGTCTTTAATACAACTTCTTTTTAATCGTTTGAAAATGGGCATGCCAGCCGTTGTTATATCGTTTATAAATATGATAATCGTACGTTATATGATAATCCCAAGAGGACTTGGAAATGAAGTTTTGGTAAGTGGTTGGATGTCTGAAGACGGTGTGTAAAGTTTTGTTATATAGGTTATTATTATTTAATTATTAAATATACATAAGCCTAATATATCGAAAATATTAGATTTATTAACTACTTAATAGTTCTTTAGGGGTATACCTGGGATATACATGGGATGTAAAAATGCTTAACTATTTTTAACTAATATTTTTAATTCCCATATACGTTCCAGAGTTAATAAATAAGAAAAAAGAAGTTACTGTACTTAAATAATGTTACTGAAAATAGTTGTTCAAGTTGCATATTCATGCATGTCCAGGTCATGTTGTGCCATGTTCCAGGTCTATAATTCATTTCTAAAGATGTTCGTGTCCTTGAATATTACGAGCTGTTGTTAAAGTTCCGTTAAGTAAGATTTACTATTTTAGAATGGGGGGAGGGAAAAAGTAAACTTAATTTAGGCTACGAAGAAAGCGAAATTTGAAAAATAAAATATGAAAATGTTTTGTAATATTACACAATATTATATTGATATGTCTTAATTGATTATTTATATTCGAAGATAATATTAAATTAAAGATAATCTTAAAGATATTAAGATTCCTGAATCGAAAAAAATGTATTAAAGCTCTCGTAACTGAAGTTTTAGCTCATGACTTATTCAGAGAAAATGTAAATACGTCTCATTCTGTTCATTAGATATTTCTTAATCTACATTTTCATAATCGCCAGGTCTTCTATATTGACTTCATATGACCCGGAGACAAATTGAAAATACTTTGTTTCATGTAATAATATTAGTTAGCACTGAGATAGTTCGGTACATCGGTAGATGTTGAGACGGCATTGCTAGCCAGGGGTTGATAGATGTGAATGAAGCGCGTCGTATTGAACGGTACCCGAGCAGGTTGGGTAATAGGAACAGGAGGAGGTGAAGGTTGGAGCAAGTGTGCCGTCGAAGGGCAAGGGCGAAGAGAGTAGCCTTGGCATTCCTCCGGTCTCCTCTCCTCTCCTCGTGTCCCTGTGCCAGGGCTAAGGCCGCCCTTCATCGAGGCTATGCTGTTGGAAATCAAGGAAACAGGAAAACATATATTAAAATTACCACGGTTACGTTCACTAGTCCGAGAGCTGATTTCAGGTGACCACAAGGGGGTTTCATCACAATTTTTGAGGAGGGCACATTTCAACGGAATTATGATTTTTTGAGGAAGGCACATTTCAACGGAGTTATGAATTTTCGGATTGAAAAGTTTAATCATCAACAAGGAGACATAGAAAATACATGGAACAAATCTCAGAAAGTATAGTTGCATATGATTTACGGTACTCCACGTCTTAATTTTTTCAAGATGTGGAGAACAATAAAATACCTTGGAGGAGGGGAGGGGAGAGGTTCATACGCCATCCATCTTGAGAATGGGGGTTGGGCACCCCTGTCTGAATCCAAAGTAATATAAAAAAAAATTCGAAATAATAGTCAGCGGTACAGATCCCTTTTTATCAAATTTTTAACACGCGCCTGAAACTTCGTGAATGGCTTCATCTTACCATAACCTACAAATTTTATCCTTACAAAAATTCTAGAATAATACTCAAGTTTTTCGGATGTTGAGATACACCGATGCATCGGATGATATCTACTTACAAGGAGCTGTAATGTTTAGTGAAAGGAATCCTATCTTCCTAAAGGTGCCTATGTCCCCCAAGTTCGATGGCGCATAAATTACCCCTCTCCCTCAAAAAATTGTATTACCCTCATCTTCTTGAAAACAGTGCAATCGAAAGTATAATTAGAAAAATCGTTGATCATAAACAATTACACTAGCTTTTTGTTTATTTTTTTAGTCTTCCCTTATTTGCCTTTTAGGCTACACGAGGTTTTTTCCCGGACTGGGGCTGAGGGCGGGGGAATTATGGCGAGTTAAATGTCCCACCGAGCACCGGGATTTGAACTTTTGAACGTTTGAATTCATAATTATCTGTTTATTTAAAATCTTACATATCATATGATACAAAATGTGAGATTATTTAAAATATACTCATTTTTTTTCTTTTGTATTTCAAGCTCTAGTCGTTTCAAAACATTAACGAGTTCACTAATTCATAACACCATACACCAACAAGACGTTCGCTTAATTAGTCGGTACATATTAATTACCGTACACAGGTAATTAGCTCATAGATTACACAATATATATATACAATTATTTGTTCATTTGTTAACCCAAACACTCATGTAATCTCATTGAATAATTTGAATCATCGAACATGAAAATAGGCACATTCGTCCGCTCAGAAAATCGTTACTTACGCTTGCGGATTGATCAAAATATATTTTATACTATAGTTTGTTAGTGTTCTAAATTCGCACCATTTGAAAAACTCATGGTACCTCACTCAATAATTTGATCTATCCAAATTAAAAATCAGTCTAGCCGTTTGCTCAAAAACAAGTTACATACTTTTTTTTTTATTTATTATTATTTTAATGGAATTTACAACTGTATTACATAGAGAATACAATAAAGTAAATGAGAAATTTGTAACATGGCATGTACAACATGAAGAGAAACTACCCATTGGTAGAACTCAATACATACTTTTAAACGGTGAATCTAACACTCCTAGTGGCATTGCCGTAGTCGGGTAAAATTAGAGACATTGCAAGACATTCTGTTTGATTTTTATTAATTGAATTCTTTCTTTATTTTATAAGATTTAGAAATGAAATGTTAAAAGCTCCACAATTTACTGATATTTAGTGTATAAAAAGATCGATTGGCATAATTGGCATCTAGTGAATTTAATTTAATTCAAGTGATAATCTGTTTTGATTCTTTGGTGTAAAATTCAAATTTTTAAAAGAATGTAATCGCAACCAGTCCCTAACCATTAAAATAATAACGGACTCAGCGGACTCAATCTCTTGATCCGCCCTATAAAGGGGTTCTCTGATGGAAACTATACATGTATAAGATAGGCTGGGAATCTAGCGTGATGGCAGGATATCACGTGGGAGACCAAAAAGCCTAAGATAGGTAGAGGTGTATATTTGCCTAGTTTAAATTACCAAATATATACATGGTATTTAAAGCTATTTTTTTCCCTGTTGTTCTGTAAAATATTAAGTGAGCTTATTAGCTTAAAATGCTATTTTCGATAAGGTTTAAAATTATTTCGAATATTTAGGAGAAGAATAGTTGGGGTGATCAGACAAATATTATACTCTACTGACGGATAGATGAACCTATTCGAGGACTTTTATGATGGCAGTTTTCCCTTCGAGCTGGGGATAGTACTGGCAAGCTACTAATGGTGACAAATTACAGCAATCGAAAGAATTGCTACCACAATATTCCTCCGCTGGGCGATACGTCACTATGACGAAACGAAATGAGTAATGAGCTTTCTCCGTTTATTCGATTAAGGTCTCTCACCAGCAAAATGAAAGGTAACAAAGTATACTGCAATAGAAGAAAAGTAAAACTCTACAGGTATCAAAATGAGAAATTAATCATTAAAAATCCCTAAAATAGTTTAATTCCCATTACAGTAGTAATCTAAATCTTAATTTAAATTTGACCTTGGACAAGCGTTACCTGTTAAAAGTTTCACTCTTTGTTTCTTAAACGATGGAAAATATGAATAACTTGTTAATCTCACGCGGCAGATAATGCAGTTTGCAATGTCCCAAAATAGAAGGATAGGGAAACCGGCATCAGATTTTCACAAGAAAAAATAAGTTAAAAAATGTAAGAAATATTTCAATAAATATTTCTGACATCGCATTTTACAAATAAATAAAAATTGTAGGTCTATTACGAGATCGTAAACTAAAATGAACAAATCAAATAGAAAAATTAAAACAGGAATGCAATAAAAGACCGAACTTCCTAAAAATTCTTTATCATCAAAGCTGGGTAGCAGACAGAAAATCTATGCTGACGACATACAGAACTATTAAAAGACCAAAACTAGACTATGGCTGCATCATATATTCTTCAGCAAGCCTCCTAAACAAGCTGGATTCAATTCAGAAAATGCCCAGTAACTGCCTTGCTGAGTGAAGACGGAGAATGGCCCTTGAGCCATTGAAGAAAACTTACCGTTCTTCGTTATGCAGATGTTGTATCCCAGACAATAGGAGATACTCCACCATGGACAATTCCATCAATCAGAACTGAATTAGGACTAAACAATGCTTCCAATAACGCTACTCCAGAAAAAATAAGATATACGATTTCGACTCATCATGTCAAAGCATAGCACATCCTTAGTATGTACAAACCCGTAATAATGAATGTATTTTTTTTAAAGCTTCAATTTAAACCACTTCCACCTTCATTGATGGAGGTTCATGCTGAAATATTTTGGTCGACGAAAAAGGTGGTCCTAAAATATTGACGTGGGTGACATAATGATGTTAAGGCATTTCTTATATAATTTGAGGAAGAAGATTCCCATTGGGATATCTATCCGGCCATCTCTTTCGCGTATTCCCATAATTCGGCAATAAAGATCCGGTTCTTGTTGGCTCATCTTTGTTCTTCTTCCACGGCCTTCTTCAATTTAACAAGTTTCTTCAGGATCCGGTTTAAAGTCACTTTCGTTTTTAATAATATAAACAAATTTACAATTCATTTGTAAGTTAATGAATCAGAAATGTTTTATTTATTTTGATATAGATATTTTCTTACTACTGTCTATTCCGAATATTTATTTAAATAATATTAACGGCTTCAAATAGTAATAAGGATATTTGAGGGATGGTATGTTTATTTCGAAGTTTGATTGATTTATGAAAAAAAAAACTGAAGATCCAAAATTTAGGAATTTTCCTGACATAATATTAAAATTTGCGGTCATCATAGGCACCATGTTAAAAAAATAACGAATGTGAATCTTCGCCTAATATGAAGA